GTACACCAAAGGTGTACCCCAAATATACACCACCCCCTTTTTCACCACCCATTTTTATTTTTTTTTATTTTTTTTGAATTTCTTGCCTTTTTTGTGTGGACAAGGAGGGGGTGGGGGACAAATGGGGTACACCAATGTGTACCCCTATCATTTTTCCAAAAATTAATTTGTTTATGCAAAAATTATTGTCATCCTTACAAATATTCCTAGACTCAAAACAAAATAAAAGTCTTTGGAGTCTTCACTTCGCTTCAAAAATCTGTGCAGGGGTGAGCATTGATTTTTATCGCCGTAAACTTCTTGATAGCCTTCTTTGCTTTTCTCGATACGAAAAATAAATTTTCGAATATCGATTGAAATTAATCATCCTGTTTGTCATTTATCAAGACAAAAATATCCAAAAAATAATAAAGGGGTTTGAACTCATGTCCAACAATTTCCCCCTTTTTGATAATGACAAACATAGTTGAGAGAAAACAAAGTGTGAGATCAGGAAATACTTCTCTTAAATTGATTCCCCCTGCAAGGTTAGAGAAGTGCAGTAAAAATAATCGGAGTAATAAGCGGAAAAATGATTTTGAAAAATAAGTTTTCTCAATTATCCTTCCTTCCCCCTTTTGGCATTATCAACCGATATGCTTCCCCCTTAAACAATGCTGGGATATTGAAGGATAGTAAAAAAAATGGCAAGAGTTTTCTTTAAAAGAGAACTACTAGTAAAAAAGCCACAAAGGGACAATATGTTCTAAACAAGAACAATATTGCCAACCCAACAATGATATCAATACACAATCATAATTAATTTTAATAACCATAACTAGCATCATTCAAAGAAATATCATCATCCACCAAAAGAGTCATAAAATAATATCATTTAAGAATGTATCATAAATAAGTCATCACATAAAGAGAGAGAGAAGTCAAAGTGAGCTCGACGGCCGGGATCTACCACCGTAACTGTGACGCGGTCCGAAATATGGTCGTCGCTCAATCTCCGTCATCCGCTGCTCAAGCCGTGAGAGACGATGGCCTTGCATGGTTACTTCCATACGAGTATGCGCCACATCCGTGCGAGTGCAAGTCACGGAATCTAAAATCCGTTGAAGGATGGAACGATCAGCGCGACGCGATGAAGTAGAGCGTGACACCCGAGTAGGAGAGGAGTGCCAAGTCGATTCCACTTGAGCGACTTCTTGGACATGCGCCGGTTCGCCCTCCGGGTCATGTTCTTCTTCACCATCTTCTTCTCCTTCTTCTTCTTCTCCTTCTTCTTCTTCTCCTTCTTCTTCACCTTCTTCTTCTTGCACGGCCCTTGGTACATTAGAGCGGTTGAAGGTTGCGACATCGATGTACCACGTGTGGTTCTTTTGGACGTGGATGTCTTTTAAAGGCACTCCAAAAGCTCTCAAAATGTTCATGATCGGGAACACATACCCAAGAGACCCTTTAGACTTCATGAGAAGAAGGTTATTGCAAAAGAATTTTGCCCAATTGATTTTAATATTGTTCAAAAACACGAAGAGAAGACGAGTGTCCGAAATAAGTATTTTGGAATGGCTCGACTTACGAGGAGCTAATACTTTCGAAATGAAGTAATGAAGAATTCGAAAATGAGGCTTAAGACCTCCAACGGTTAGGCGTTCTCGCCCAAGAACTTCTTCAAGGCACACCTCGGTAATGGTGTCGTAAGAAGAAAAAGCTTTGAAATCCTTAGATGTGAACTTGTAGAAATCACATCCCTCAAAAGAGAATTTGAAAAGTTCACCGATATCTTTGAGAGTCATCTCAATGTCGGTGCCATTAACGGAGGTTATGAGGACCCGTCCGTTGAAAGTGAGATTTGTATAAAACAACCGAATTAGATTCGGAGGAAAATTCTCACGAACAAAAGAAGTAACACCAAGTCTATCAATGAAAATTGTGGCATCTTGGAATGGTAGATGACAAAATACGGAATGAAGAACGCATTTGGGTGTCAAAATAGGACGATTCAAGAAATCATTATAGAATAGGCGT